TATATATATATTAAAGGAATAAAGTTACCATATATAATTGTCATTGTGGTTAAACCAAGTGGCAAGCTAATAAATGACAATAATATATGGTAACTTTATTCTATATTTGGCTATGTTAGTCATATATATATAACTAAATTTAAATTAAAGGATAATTTTTAATTGATAGATAAAATTTTTAAATTTGAATTAAAATAAAAAATAAATTTATCTTTTGGAATCATACTTAATTCGGTTAATGATCATATGCAATTATGTTAGGAACTTTTGTTATCTTTTCTCATTATTTAAATATTACTTCGCCTCTCGCAAAAAATAATAATAATAAAATCACTCATATAACTATAAAACTCTTTCACATCTAAAACCATATAATTAAAGTTCTTTAAAATACTATAGCTAGATTTGAATAAAGGAAATTTTTTTAAAATAAATATAATATATAGAGTACACGTCTATGTTTATCGAGATAACAAAAAAGAGTTTAAAAATCAAATAAAAGTTTACTTATACGAGAAAGAAACATCAAAAAAATAAGTCAATATTCAAAAAAGTTATTTTTTTTCTTTTTGAAGAATGTTTGTTTGACAAGTCAATTTGTATAAAAGGCCACCCAAAAAATAGCAAACCTTTGGCTATACAATTGCTATCATTAATTTCAATTTAACACATTCTAGGAATTGAATGATATAAGCTGAAATCTCTTCATTTAGCTGCAGTCAAGCCAACATTGTAAGGGTATAATACTTTTTTCGTTGAAGAATATTAGTTGTGAATCATTAGATTATATGAAAGGTTTTTTTCTCGAATTTTAACAAGAGGGGTATTAGTTTCTAATTGACAGTTTCTATATCGATTTTCAAGTGTAATAAAATATATATTTTAAAAAATAAAATTGGTATGACGTGATTTTTTTTTAAATGTAAATAAATTATTTTGAAATGGAAATATTTTTTAAAATATAACATAATTTTAAAAATAAAAGGATAAGATATTTTTGAATTTTAGTAGAGAGTTTTTAAAATTATTATAATAGAAGTCATATCATGGATAAAATCAAGTAACCAAGATCTTATGGAATATTTACATACATATCTGGCCAGATTTATATTTTACTTTTTATAGTTGATATACATAGATGATATGCCGACAACACGTGATTATACACATATTACATATGAATTATATATAAATTAAATATCTTTTAATTTTTTAATTTAAGTAGTTGGGTGAGTACCTATTTAGGTTGATTAGATAAAGCAAAAACAAAAATATGAAAGAATTTCAACCAAATACTAAAAATATAAATAAATTTCTTATGTAGACAATTTCTATTATAACTCATCCTTTTATAGTGAAATAAATTAATTTTTGAAACAAAATAAAGAAAAACAAAAAAAATAAGATAAAAGAAAATAAATTTAGAAAAAAATAGATGGGAAATCTAAATTTTGGAAGTTGATCACATCGATTTCAAATATATATATTTTTTTTCAACTCAAATACCTATATTATAAGATAAGAATTTTTTAATTTACATTGTGTGTTGTTTTTCAAAAATCACTATTAGTAACAAACTATATAGGGTACACGTCTATATTTATCCATATAATAAAAAAGTCAATTACAAGTTTACTTACATATATAATGAAGTAAACCTACATGCCAGAGAAAGAAACATCACAAAAATCAGTCAATATTCAAAAAAAGTTATTTTTTTTCTTTTTGAAGAATGCTTGTTTGAAGAGTCAATTTGTATAAATGGATGTCAAACAAATAACAAAACTTTGGCTGTACAATTGTTATAATTAATTTCAATTTAGCACCTTCTAGGAATTGAAGGGTATAAGCTGAAATCTCTTCATTTAGCTGCAGTCAACACTGCAATGGTATAATATTTTTTTGTTGAAGAATATTAATTTTGAATAATTATATTATATGAAAAATATTTTTTTTCGAATTTCAACAAGAGGAATATTGGCTTTCTAACTGATAGTTTCTATATCGATCTTCAAGTATAACAAAATATATATTTTAATAAAATTGGTATGACGTGAAATATTTTTTCAAAAAAATTAAATAAATTATTTCGAAATGGGATTGTTTTTTAAAATATAATGTAATTTTTTTAAAAAAAGGATAAGATACTTTTGAATTTTAGTAGAGTTTTTTTAATTATTATACATATCATAGATAAAATCAAGTAACCAAGATCTTATGGAATAATTCATAAATATCTGGCCAGATTTATATTTTACTTTTTATAGCTGATATACATAGATGATATAACGATAAAGCGTGATTATATACTTATTACATATGAATTATATATAAAATACATATCCTTCAATTTTTAAATTTAAGTAGTTGTAGCACCTATTTAGGTTGATTAGATAAATCAAAAAGAAAAATATGAAAGAATTTTAACGAAAGACAAAAAATATAAATAAATTTATTATGTAGATAATTTCTATTATAACTCAT